CAGTGTTTTTGAAGTGTGAAAGGATCAGGGCAGTTTTTGTATAAGTGTCAGTATTTGATGGTACTACTCACAGTAAATTAGTGCCCAGTAATTTAACTATGCCTTGCATTACTAAATGAAGGGCTTATGCTGGTTATCTGTAAGCTGTTATCTGTAAGGAAGAATATTTCATTAGCCTGCTAAATAACGGTCTCAGGTTTGAAATCTTTCACTGCAATGTTGGAGACTGTCCATAGCTGGAAGAACATTGTTCAAGAATACCAACAGACTTCTCCAGTTCTCAATAGTTGTAGTATATTTGGCAGGGTTAAACTTGTTCTCACACCTGGGTTCAGAAAGAACCTCTCTACATTTAATTTCCAGAGCTATTACCCTCTCTGACACTTGCTGTTGGACTAACTCAGATGTTCTCCTGAAGGTTCTTTGGCACATCATGTAATATGTGTGCTCTTAATCTCCAGTGCTTTTCACTGGGTCCTGGTAGCTTTTGAGGTTTTTTATCCAAATTTAAAGAGTTAAATGAGTTGGTGGCATTGAATAGATGATTTGCATACTGTTGTGGATTGCATATCTATTGTGTGGGATAGTGATCCATTGCATCCCGTCTCAAAGAGCAGAACTGAAGAGGTTTTGAAGCATTTACTGCCACTATGAAGTTCCTGACAGTCAGATGGAACATGGGAATCAGTAAAACATGAAAGGCTAATTTACCTTTTTTTTTTCCCACTGCTTTTCACAGCTTTCACATAAAGAGGTGAAAAATGCTCTAGGTTTTATTCCAAGGATTCACTTGCAATGAAAAAAACCCCAGTGGAGAACAGAGAGCCTTCCACAGTTAAGGACAAGGCTTAATTATAGCACAGCCAACAAAACTGGCTTCAGTGCTCACCATTTAAAGCAGCCAATACTGTAATGAGGGGCTTAATGCAGGAGTCCAGCCACATGGTTCGATTATGCCACTGAAGGGGATGAAGGGGTACTGTATTACACACCCATATTATACAGACCATAAAGTGGGTGTTCTGGCTTTTCTTTTCCTCTTAAATGCTCCTTGCAGTGTCCCATGCTGCTGAGTCACAAAATGTGATTTAACAGAAGGACTGGATGAAAGTAAATATGTGTGTATGCAGAGAGGCAATACATGTGCAGGCATTTGTTCACTACATGGTGGCTTTAGTGTGAGTCATTGGATAAAGAGCTACAGCTGTTTCCATCTACTTTCTAAGACTATAAAAAACAGTAGAAGAAGAAAGAAACAGGCATTTTCTCTTTGACTGACATGTAGATTTCAGCAAACTGGTAGGACTTGAGCAACTGCATGAAGGAAAAAAAAAGTGACCCAACTTGAGGCTCATTACATTTTCATTTTTAATTCCTGGGTTCTCTTTCTGGGTACCAAAACTGACATGAATAGTTTTATTTCAATGAAAAAATCAGATTCAGGCAGCAGTTTGACCAGCAATAATATCATGGCAAGTCTACATTGAAAATATGTCTGAAGGAAAGATTACCCTTTCGGGTGGGTAAAGGGGGGGGGGGAATCATCCCCCACACTGAAGCACTGGTTAAAAATCCACAATTCAAGTCTTTTTTCAAATTTACATCCTCTGTGTTATAAATACAACAGAATGATGACATTAAGAACCTCTGCCTCTTCCCATCAAGCCACCAGACAGTTTTGAGATAGTTCGAGCAGGCTGTTACAAAGGCATAGCTTTGCCTATATTCTCTCATCTCCCACTTAGTTGTGCCCCAAATGAATGTCTGCACTTGACAGATTGTGTCTTGAACCGACAGTTTTCACCTGATACATGTCTCAATGAGACATGGTAAATGCCAGCCACGAGCCACAAGTAGAGAAAGGACTGACATTGTTAACAAATGCTGCAGGCATTTGTAGCTAGAAAATGATTTGTGGGTTTTACCCCTTTTTATATTGCCGTTGCACTCAGAAACACATAGATGTTTTTACTGAACATAAGAAGTAACATTTAAATTTGATTAAACCTTTGAAGGATCCCCAAAGATGAATATTTCAGGAAAGTATGAAAGGATAAAGAGCAATCTGTATCATAAAACTCTAGATTAGGTAAAGAGCACTGTAGTACAGACATTTTCTCTTCACAATATTTTACCATTACTGTGGGTCTGCTGCTTTAAATTCTTTATTGAATTTATTGACTCTGATCAAATGGCCCAGTAGGGGCATTGATGATTACATATTTCTTAAGTGTATATTTAATTTTATGGATTCTGT